CTCTGGTTTAGATCACAGAGCTTGTTATTTCAAAACAAGCAAAACAATTCCTGGTCACAGTTAGTCACAGGGACAACTAAAATCAGAACAAGATCTCCAGGTGGAAGGGCTTACTGTCTGCTCCTTCCTTCTCCGAGTCTTCCACTGTGAGCCCTAAGGGCAGGGGCTACATCTCATTCACTCAGAAGACCTGCTGCCTTGCCAGGCATACATTGAGCACTTAATGTAGGTGGGCAGAAGACTGAGGCAGCCCGCCTGGGGAAGGAGCACCACAGGCAATTATGCTGTGGGACCTTAGCAAGTCCGCTTCCCAGGCCCCGCATCCAGGCAGCCCCAGCCGCATCCACTCTGCACCCCCAGATTCCTGCCCACATGGTGGGGCCGTCAGCCCCAACTCCCCAGTGGTGACCAGAACAATGCTTAGAACCCATCACTGTGTAAGATCCACAGAAGCAGAGTTGCTAGCATTCTTTCCCCATGAGCACTGAGGCGTATTTTTATCCAATCTAAACACAAACACCGGCACCAAGGAGTTCAGCTGAGAGGCCACCACCCTGGAGAGGGCGGCAGGGACCATGTGTCCACTCAGACCCGCAGCAGAATCACCACACGTGGCCTTCTGCCCTAAGTGCTCTGGCCCTCGTCCAGGCCACCCCCATTCTGTGCTCTCAGGGAGCAACCCCACCTCCTAAGCCAGCGCCTCAGAAACAGACCCCATGTGAAGCCGAGATGATGTTCTCACTCTGATCGGTGCCTCCACCTCCAGGATGCCAGCCGAGGGGAGTCACTGGACATGCCCTCGGAGCTCACACACAATGTCCATCACATGGCACTTTCAGTACCATCCAGAAAGGAGCTGGCTATAAAATCTACATTCCTCCATACGGTGTGACGCTGTGCAGCTATGAAACGTGACCTCATACACAAAAGTTGAGAGACAAGGAAAGCGTCGGCAGAACACGGTTAAGGAAGGATTGAAAGCAGCATAATATATTATCCTGAGTCAGTTTAGGATGAAAACAAAATTTATCTGCAGGAAAAAAATGGAAGAAAATGCCCTCTAAAAAGGATACTTGCTATCTCTGGGTAAAGATTATGCGTGGTTTCATTTCATTCTTCTTTTAAATATATTTCCCTAGTTTTCTATAATGAGTTTGTAATGTTTTTGAAATTAAAGCAAATGTTACTTTAAAACCCATGTGTGACCAAGCCCTAAGGGAACAGGCCCAAGTAGGTCCCCGTCCTGGGATATCTGCTCTGGCCTGGCCTGACCCAGCCCCCTGGCACAGGGCTGCTCCTCAAGACAAGGGCACAAAGCCCTTGGTGGATCCCAGGTACCTATTTTTGCTCAGAGTATTAAGGGCCAAACCAAGGAACATTTCAGCTCTATCCAATGTGGCACATTCACAGGAACATAGAGGGAGAATGAACTGGGGCTGCCTCCAGCAGCAATCACGACAGCCACAGTGGCCAAGCCCCCACCACACACCGGGCACCTGCTCCAGGCCTGGCCTGGATGGTCAGCAGGTGCGGACTGAGGGTAGGTTCATCTTGTGCCAGGCACTGTGCTGGGCTCCCCTGCCCTAGAGAAGTCTCCAGGGCCGGCTTTGGAGCAGCTTCGTCTTGATGGGAAGGGTAACACCTAAACAGACACCCACAAAGATGGCACAGAAGGGGCCCTCACTCAACTGTGGGAAGAGGCAGGCCAGGAATCCTGCAGGCCTTGACAAACTTCCGAACAAGCAGGCAGGAGCCAGCCAAGGAGAGATACCTGGGCATTCCAGCAAGGGGTGTGCCCAGGAGAAGAGACAGCAGAGGGACAGTGAGCCAGCCTTGTGGCCAGGAACATGCAGGTGGCTGGGAGGTGACTGCTGGGGAGAGGACACAGGAAGGATGAGTGAGCAGCAAAGGGGGTCCCTGAGGGCCCAAAGGAATGCTGGCTCAAGAGGCGGACTTGACCTGATAGGCCAGAGGGAAGTTGCAGCTGAAGAACCAGCAGGGCTGTGCGGAGCCAGGCCTGGATTGGGACCAGGGAGAAGGCTGGGGGCCGACCAGGGAGAGGTGAGGGTCCTGAACCAGGGCAGGCATCCGAGGCAGGAGAGACAGGAGAGAACCAACTGGGAGTGAGGAATGAGGGGCACGAGGGTGGCCTGGTTTGTGGCTGAGGCTGGCTGCAGTGGTGCAACTTCCTGAGGTAGGGTCGTGGGAGGGGAGGGGAGCCATGTAGGCATGAAGCTCCTGACCTATTATGGTTCTTATCGCCAGCATCATGGATAGGTATTCAGGGTCTGTCCGGTAGTGCAGGCACCTCTGAGGGTTGCGACTGAGCTAGGGCCCCCTCTGTGCCCAGCCCTGATCTGGGATGGGCAGGGGAGGCCTTAGTCAGAGACCCTCTCCATGCTCTTCCATCCTGGGAAAGAAGGCGAGATGGGGTCTCCCAGCCAACTTTTCTTGGGTCTGCAAAGGGAGGAGGACAAAGAAGCAGGCAGGGAAAAGAGGCTGGAATGTGGAGGAACCTCTGTCTAACTCCCTGGTTGGATACAAAGGAGCCCCCATGGAAATCACAGACCCTTGGAGACAGAAGTAAACAGGTGGGCACAGTGGCAAAGGTGGCCTCTGGGCTTCCCGTGGGCTCCCTCCCCTGCTGCAGAGAACAGGCAGCCAGCACATGGGATACCCAGGACACAGCTCCCTGAGTGATGGATGCTGGCAGAAGAGGAAGCCCTTTACCAACTGCAAAGCCCTGGGCCAAATGCCAGGGGTCATTGTCCAAGGTGAGGAAAGGCGGGGCTGCTTCTGGAGAGATGGGGCAGAGGCCTCACATCAGGCTCTGCCTGATCAGCTCCGTGGTCCTGGGCTGGCACCAAACCCTGCTGAGCCTCAGCTTCCTGGGGTGCAAATGGGGATGATAACTTCCCCACCTAAGGCTACCGAGGGTTAAATCTGGGTGCTGGGGGTTGCGTAAATGCTACTTTCTTGAAGTGTAACATCAACTACCAAGTGAGTGAGAGGCCAGGGCTCCATCACATCCAGAAGGGCTGGGCAGGATTCTCCAGAAAGTTTTCGTTGATCAAATAAGAAACTAATGATCTAGAGGGCGGAGTTCATACCAGGCAGGGTCCAGGGGCTGCCACTGAGCCCCCGAACCCTCTGAGGAAGAGCCCCGCGAGGGAGAGGAATGGCCACAGCACTCCTAAGTGGGCTGTGGAGATTCAGAGTGACCCCGAAGCTGCCCCTCGGGCGGGCCGGGTCCCCCGGGGAACTGAGCCTCCTTCCCCCCACCCCCCGCAACACCTCCTGGGGGCCCAGGCGCCTTCCAGCTGCAGGGCGGGCACAGAGGATGGCTGTAGGTCCCCGGCCCGCGGGGGAGGGGCATGACGGGGCAACTCGGGCTGGGCGCGGGGCGCGGAGAGGGGACCTGCCCGCCCGGCCGCTCTAATTCTCCGGCCTGCTGTCCTGGCCGCGGCGGGGCTCGGGGCGAGAGCGCGCGGGGTCCAGGGGCGCGCCCCCCCGGTCACCTGTCCGGGCCTGGGACAGGGGTAGCCTTGCGCGTCGCGGAGCGGGCGGGACCCCCAATCCTCCAACTTCGGGGACCTTGCCGGGACTTTGGGACCAGTCATCCATCAGCTCGGAAGGGGAAACTGAGGCCCGAGGCGTGCAGTGCCTCAGGGCTCTTGCCCGCCTCCTGCGCGCTGCCCACAGCCACCGCGCCAAGGCCCCGGCTCCGAAGTACTCACCCACCGGTGAGTGGGCCGCACGCGGCGCCGCGACGCCCTCGGGCCTCCGGTCCGGCAGTAAAGTTGTTCGCGGAGAGGCGGGGAGAGCTGCGACCGCGGGGAGCAGGCAGCACTGGCGGCTGAAGCGCCTGCTAGCGCGGCCCTCGGCACTAGGGGGCGGGGAAGGGGCGGGGCCTCCGGCCGCCCTCCACTCCAGACGCGGCCCCCCGGATGCGGCGCCAGCGCGGGCCGTTGAGTGGCCAGTGCACCCACCAATCACTCCACACCTCCGCCAATCATGGTGCGCCTCGCCTCGCTGCAGCCCGGCCCTCCCCCTGCACGGTTGGGCCCGAGGGGCCAGAGGGCGGGTCTGGCTCGCCCACAGCGAAAGTTTCCGAGTGGACTCGGGCCCAGTCCCGCCCCGCCCACAGGACGTCCCGTTGCTTAGCGAGGCCGCTTGTCTTCTCCTATAACAGGTGGTTTGGCCCGGTGGAGACGACTCTAGACACCTTGCATCCACCACTCCGGTGCCAGCGGCCCCAAATGCAGATTCATATTTGCTGTTGCAATATTAACACACATTTTCAGCGCCTATTCCGGAGCTGCAAGAGAGTCCGAGGGCTCCCCTAATACAGAAGCAGAAATGGAAAAATGGGACCTGTTTGAAACGTGTGTGAAGCCAAGTGCTGCTTTCAATGCACAGAATCGAATGCAATGTAGCAAGCTTTCGCTCGGTGGCTGTGAGATTCCTTTCAAGTGTGTGTTAGCCCAGGGAGTGAGCAAGGCTCAGGCAGTTTGCAGACCCTCTCCTTTGGGTCCTGTCTGGAAGGTGTGATTGAAGATGAGGGCGAGGGTCTGTCTATCCTTGAAAGGCCCTCGGGAATGTGAGACTCTGCCTGCTCTGTCCCTGGTCTCCACAGCCAACCTGAGATACCATACCTGTCCTAATTATCACGGCAGAAACTGCGGCTTGGACTGCCAGAGACAGCACCGACATGTTGGAGGCAAATATTCCAGATGACTTTGGAGATGAGTTCTTTCCACTGAACACACTATTTCAAAAGACTTTTGCTAAAGCGGCATAGTTCACGTCATTCACCTCCATTGATTCTCCAGCTGCCCCCTACTGCTCACCTCGGATCCCCAGTCTTCACCTGTAACCCAGTGAGGCTCACAGAGGAAGGAAGAAAACCAGCCGGGAGCCTCGCCTGCTCTGTCTAGGTTGGCTTGGGGGCTTACACAGCGTTCACGGACCCCACTAGTGACCCAAGGAGGCAGGTAGCATTGAGCTCATTTTTTTATTGATGAAATATTTAGTAGGTGAAAATTGAGGCTCAGACATAGTTATTTGCCCAAAGTCTTGAAGATGTCTTTCCACCTTATCATACGAAGGGGCGGAAGGCAGAAAATCACGCTGCCATGTGTGTACCTATGCAACAATCTTGCATGTCCTTCACAGGTACCCCAAAACCTAAAATGCAATTAAAAAAAAAAAGAAAAAGAAAATTTGGAGACTTAGAAAAAGTAGGAGAAAAAAAAATCACTCAAAGATGATCACTGTTCACATTTTGAGGTTTATGCACATTTACGAAAATAATAAATATTAAAGGGAACACACAATCACAGAGAGACTGAGGCACTTCACAACCCCTTTGCAGGGACTCAGCAAGCAGAGAAAAGAGGACAGATTGAAGAATTCCTCCTGTGGAGGCCTAAGAGAAGAGAGAAATGCCACAAATATGCACAAGAAGGCTTGTGCATAAGGAGCCTCCATCAGAACACAGCCACACTGAACATACTCCATGCAGCTACAAAACTGAAAAATAACGGGCAATTCAGAAAGAGAAAAGTGAAGGTGAGGACAGATGGGCAAGCCGGAAGGTAATGTGGAGTAAATGCTGTATGAGATAGAAGAAAACACATGAAAATCATCAGGAAAAAAAGCAGAGACCAGAAAGACAGTTCCAGGAGGTGTCTTGCTCAAAGGACAGGTACTCCAGGAAGAGCTGGAGGAGAGACAGAGGTTAGCAACGTGCTGGGAGAAAGCGTCCCTCGGTATCCCAGGAGCCAGGGATAAAAGGAGCGTCTTGCAGAGTCCCAGGTCTTGCAAAGAACAGGTCACATCTAAGGGAAGGAAAATTGAAGTGGTTCCTAGGGCACTCTGAAGCAATGTCCAGGGGCTCTGATGATAGGATCGAGGATCCTTTCCATGGCTACTATGCAATTCATCAGTCTGGACAAAAGAAAGAAAATACCCAACATGGCAAGACAGAGAGGACCCCAGCTATGTCCCCTTTCCGAGGAAGATATTCAGAGCTCCCCTGTCACCGAGACATTTCAATCACAGTGAGATGTCAAGATAGAGCAAATGCCCAGAACGGAAAGTGCTGTTGAGCAATGGCCCTTGCAAAATACACAGTATGGTTAATCCACATGTGCCTGTGATTTTGTACTAGCAATGTCACATCAGGATTCTTAAAACATAAGCTACATGCTGCAAGAGAAATTTGTATTAGCCTGGAACTAAAAAAGAAAATAGAATCTCTCTTACCATGGAGAAGTCAGAACATTCTAAGGTCACATTTGGTTGAGGGGAGAAGGAGGAAGTAAAAAATCTGATTTTGTGAGTGGGGAAAGAGTAGGAAAGGAAAGCCTTATTGCTGGGGGGAGGGGCTTCATTATCATTTACTTTTAATACGTCAGCAGGGAAAGATTGGTTTAATTATGACTCTCAGGAATTGGAAAGTAGCAACTCACCGGAAAGAAGCAGAGTAGAACTCCTGAGTGACTGGGTAGGAGTTGGGGGAGGGATGGAGGGAAAGTAAGGAAGCAAAGTTAAGTGGGGAGGGGGAGTAAATAATAACGAGCTTAATAACAGTGAACATAAGATGAGATAAAATAAAAAAGTCATGGCCACCAGCTTTCATAACACAGGTGACTGGGATGAACTTCCCATCCAAAGTCGGTAAGATTGGGGTAAAAAACTAAAGTCCAGTTAAGTGGTATTTACAAGAAACACACCAAAAATGTTGGCGTGTTTCTTGCAGTTCACAGTGCACATTTGAAAAATGGCAAATGACTATTGATAAGGAAGAATGCGTGGTGGAAAGCATTCATGGGAACAGAGGGATACTATGTAAGGGTGCTAGGCACAGTCCACAAAGATTTAATTGTCATGAATCTGAATGAGCCAGAAAATATTGTAGCCACACACGTACAGCAATAACTGCTAGAAATACTAGGAGAACTTATTAAAACACAGCTCTGGTGGGAGAAAGAAGCAGTTGTTCAATGCTATCTCTTCTAGGACACCTGTCCTCATTCCCCCAAGAGCTGAGCTCTGCATGCTGCTGTTGAGTATTGAATGAATGAATGAATGGATGGATGGACAGATGGATGGATGGATCAATGAGTCACCTATGCAGGGATTTCATACAGGCTCTTTCTTGCCCACAGAACAGTGTCCAAACTCTTTAACCTGACATCCAGATATGCTCCCACAATTCAGTCCTCTGATATCTGCCCACAATTTTCAGATTCTACACTCAGGTTCTTGCCCCGTTTCCTTCCCTACTCCTATGTAAAACCTACTTTCACTTACTCAACAAGCATTTAGTGACTTTTGGCCTAGCGTGGTGGCTCATGCCTGTAATCCTAGCACTTTGGGAGGCTGAGGCAGGTGGATCACTTGAGGTCAGCAGTTCGAGAGCAGCCTGGCCAACAGAGTGAAACCCCATCTCTACTAAAAATATCAAAAAAAAAAAAAAAAAATCCAGGCGTCATGGTGCATGCCCGTAATCCCAGCTACATGGGAGGCTGAGGCTGGAGAATCGCTTGAACCCAGGAAGCAGAGGTTGCAGTGAGCTGAAATCATGCCACTGCACTCCAGGCTGGGTGACAGAGTGAGACTCTGTCTCAAAAATAAATAAATAAATAATAAAATGAAAAAGAATAAATAAATATATAAACATTTAGTGGCTCCCTACCTGTTCCAGGCATTGGGCTATCTGCCAAGTATAGACAGGAAATGAAGACAGAGGCTTGGTGAGTTGTCATCTGAAAGAGACCAGAGTTGGGGGTTTACAGACCATTGGTGTCCCAGGCCCCCAAAGAGATCACTTCCTGGAGCCTGTGAACAGTACCTTATCTAGAAAAGGGTTTTTGCAGATGTGATTAAATAAGTATTTTGAGAAGGGGCCATTAGCCTGACTTGTCTCCTTGTAGGAGAGAGGTAGAAAGAGATTTGACTACATACAGAGAAGTCGACGTGAGCATGGAGGAGAGGGAGATTCTAAGACTCTGGCATTGAAGATAGGAATTATGTGGCCACAGGTCAAGGAATGCGGGCTGTCCCTGGAATCTGGAAGAGCAGGGAACAGATTCCCCTTGATTTTTGCCCAGTGATACTGATTTAAGGCTTCCGCCCTCGAGAACTGTGACAGAATCCATTTCCGTGGTTTAAGCTACAGAGTTGGGGAATGAGTTTTTAGTCCACTGAGTTAATGAGATAAGAACAACCTGTGGGGTTGGCTGGGCATGGTGGCTCACACCTGTGATCCCAGTACTTTAGCGGGCCAAGCCAGGAGGATTGCTTGAGCCCAGAAGTTCAAGACCAGCCTGGGCAACATGGCAAAACCCCCTCTCCACAAAAAAAATTTAAAAATCAGCCAGACGTGGTGGCACGTGCCTGTAATCCCAGCTACTCAGGAGGCTGAAGTGGGAGGATTGCTTGCACTGGGGAGGTTGAGGCTGCAGTGGGGCAAGATTGCACCACCGCACTCCATCCTGGGCATCAAAGTGAGACCCTGTCTTAAAAGAAAAGGAAAGAGGAGGGGAAGGGAGGGAAACGGAGGGCAGGGGAGGAAAGGGGAGGGGAGGGGCATGTCAGGGCCTGTCCGCCACAGATTGGCCTCTTAGCACAGCGAAACCCTAGGACCACCCATGTCAGCATCCCTGGGAGCCAGGCTCAGGAATCTGCATTTTAACAGGTTCCTGGGGGACTGTGAGACATAGGAACATTTGAGATCCATGACTATAAAATATATGGGTCCACCGGACCAGTAATACCAGCATCCAGCATCACTCGGTCACCTGGACGCCTGTTAGAAATGCAGAATCCCACACCAACCACAGACCTCAGTCAGAATTTGCATTTTAATAAGATGCCCTTGGGATTTGCATGCATGTTAAAATCGGAGCCAGCAGTGGCAAGTGCCTGTAGTCCCAGCAACTCAGGAGGCTTGGGTAGGAGGATTGCTTGAGCCCAGGATTTCAAAACCACCCTGGATGACATACTGAGACCCTGTTTCCAAATAAATAAGTAAAGCAAGCTAGAGAAGCCATGCTCTAACCCGGAGGTGCTCAGCTCAGGCCGTGCACATAAAGCCACCTGGAGAGCTTGTCCTGCCCAGCCCAGCTGGACCAGAAGTCTGCATTCTATGGGGAGTCCTGGATAGGGGTGCAGCAGAGGAGCCACATGTGTGCCTTTGCAATTTCGCAACCTCTGGAGCTCACTGAGGCCATGTGTTCCCTCCGCTGCCTCTTTCCTGAGGCCATCCCACTGGGCCTTGACCACTCCTAAGGTAGGAAGCTCTCTTTGCTGCTGTGTCCCACCAGATGTTCCTAACACAATGTGACACACAGGGTGGCCTCCCTCACTGTTCGAGGGTCTGAGGATATGGAAGACTCCCAGGAGCACACACCCTGCAGCTGCTGGACCATAGAGCCTCTGGGCTACCATCCCGCCCCTTCCTCCTTCCCCACTTCCCTGCTCATCTCCCACCCTGGACTCACCGCTCCTTCTCCCTCCTTCCCAATGCTCCCTTTATAAACCCGAGCTCCCTGCCCACTCTGCAGTCTCCTTGGAATTGCAGCACAAGTGGCTGGAATTGTGGCTGGTGGGGGTGTCGTGGAGGGCTTGGTGCTGGTCACACGGCTCTGTGTCACCAGGGCTGGTGCCGCATCAGAGGCCCACGCCTGCCAGCACCTCCACACACACCCACGTGCACACGCCCACCTGCACACACACGTACTGCATTGTCGCCGGGTAGCTCCGCGCCCTCCCATGGGTCTGAGTCGTGATGTACTCATCTCTGAAGGCAGAGTGAATGCCACTTAGCAGCCTGCAGATGAATCACCAAGTGCATTAGGAAGTTTCATTTGGGGAAATAAAAAAAAAAAGCCAGGATGCAAAAGCAACTTTGAGGCAGAAGAAGGAAAGTGCCCCCTGTGGGGAGAGGCACTGTGCCCAGACCTGCTGGTGTCCCAGTCATGCCCCTTCGTCACTGGGCAGTGCCAGGGAGGCCCCCACCTCCCCCAGCATTCACCTGGGAAATGAGCCCAGCCCTGCCTGGATGCAGGGAGGAGTGACCATGACAGCAGTCAGCATGGGGCCTGGCCACAGGTCTCAGGTCCCAGGGCTGTGTCACCAGGACTAGACACAGGACATGGAAGAAGCAGGGGCATCACTTGCTGAGCACGTCAATGCGCCCACACCGTGCAGCTGTCATTTCACACTGAGTCTCTCTTACAAGTGTCAGTCATTGGCCGGGGGCAGGAAGAGGCATTCTTTAACACTTGCTCCCTCACAAGTCTGGCTGGGTGCCATGGTGTGGGTGGAAGGGTCTAAGGCACACAGCCCCATACCCGCCCTGGAGGGGCTTGCTAGGTCCAAAAGCTGGAATCCCCAGCCATCTGTTAGCCTGGGGAGGGGCTAACCAGAGAAGCGATGCCAGCCTACAGATTCCCGGCAGCGGGAGAAATTGCGGCAGGTGACAGTGGTCAGGGAAGACTCCCTGGAGGAGATGCTGGCTTTATTCTACCCCCTACTCCCCCCAGTATTTTTTTGAGATAGGGTCTTACTCCTTCACCTGGGTTGGAGTGTAATGGTGCAATATTGGGTCACTGCAGCCATGGCTTCCCAGGCTCAGGTGATCCTCCTACCTCAGCCTCCAGAGTAACTGGGACTATGGGCACACACCAGCACATCTGGCTAATTTTTGTATTTTTTGTAGAGAAGGGATTTTGCCATATTGCCCAGGCTAGTCTTGAACCCCTGAGCTCAGGTGATCCTCCTGTCTCAGCCTCCCAAAGTGCCAGGAGTACAAGTGTGAGCTCCCACACCCGGCCACCCCTTACCCCTTTTTAGTAGACCTTATTTCTTAGAGCCGTTTGGGGTTTACAGCAAAGTTGAATGGAAAGTATGGAGAGTCCCCATAGGCCCCACGCCTCCCCATGCAAAGCCTCCGCTGCACCTGTCCCAGTGCAGGACCTGCACTGACACACTGCTCTCTCCCAGAGCAGAGTGTTCACACCGGGGTCCACCCCGGGCGTTGTGCACTCGGTGGGTTTGGAAAAATGTGGAATGACATGGGCCACCACGGTAGCAGCGTCACTGTCCCAAGGCTCTTAGACGCTCCACGGATTCATCCCTCCCTCCCGCTGCCTCCTGGCAACCACTGATCTTTTTCCAATTTCCATGGTCGTGTCTGTCCGGAACGTCGTAGAGTTGGAATGGTGCAGCGTGCAGACTTTTCAGCCTGGCTCCCTTCACTCCGTGATATGCAGCTCAGCTTCCTCCCCGGCTTCCCATGGCTTGAGAGTCATTTCTCTTTATTGCCGAGTAACAGTCCATTGTCTGGATGGACCACAGCTTATGTATCCACTCACCTCCTGAAGGACACCGTGATTGCTTCCAAAAGGTTCTGACTTTAAATCAGGGAACTAAGCATGGTCTGTGGCATGCTTAGGCAATGTCATTAGACCTGGGGCAACTCAGTGAGCATCGACTCAGTATATCCTTTGCCTCAAACGGTTATTGGGAAGACTTGGGAGCTAGCCCATGTGGAAGTGGAGTTGGTGGACGCCGGTTTCCTCCATAACCACACCAGAGACCATTGCCACCCTTTCCTGAATACCAATCACACCCGGTGGCTCATTAAATCCACACAACAACCTGGGAGGTGGGGATCATCCCCAGGCTGTAGACCAGGAACCAGAGGCTCTGAGAGGTTGAGTGCTGTACCTGAGGCCACTCTGGGGCATCTCTTTGATCTGACAGCCTCCAATCCGTGCTGCCATGCCACCCCACATTGACCTTTGTCTGAAACCCAGCCAGCTCCCCTTCTGTGTTTCAGGTGGCTGTAACGAAGAGAACACACAAGTCACAAAAGATGGGTTTTTACACAAACACCTCCAGGGTGTGGTTTGGGGGCGTGGGCATTTGCAGCATCTCCTCACTTCTTTTTTTGTTTTTGAGACAGAATCTTGCTCTGTCACCCAGGCTGGAGTGCAGTGGCACGATCTCGGTTCACCACAACCTCAGCCTCCTGGGCTCAAGGGATCTTCCCACTTTAGCACGCAAGTAGCTGGGACTACAGGCACACTCCAACATTCCCAGCTAATTTTTTTTTGTGTGTATTTTTTGTAGAGATGAGGTCTTGCATGTTGCCCAGGCTGGTCTTGAACTCCTGGGCTCAAGCAATCCACCTGCCTCAGCCTCCCAAAGTTCGGGGATTACAGGCAAGAGCCACCATGCACAGCCCCCTCCCTCATTTCTTTCAGCCCTAAGTCCCTCCTGTGATCTTTTAAAAACCCAGAGCTAGGTCGGGTGCAGTGGCTCACGCCTGTAATCCCAACACTTTGGGAGGCCGAGGTGGGTGGATCACAAGGTCAAGAGATCAAAACCATCCTGGACAACATGGTGAAACCCTGTATCTACTAAAAATAGAAAAATTTGCTGGGTGTGGTGGTGCACACCTGTAGTCCCAGCTACTCGGGAGGCTGAGGCAGGAGAACCGCTTGAACCCAGGATGTGGAGGTTGCAGTGAGCAGAGATCACGCCACTGCAGCCTGGCGACAGAGCGAGACTGGTTAAAAAAACCAAAAACCCAGAGCTGGTGGGAGTGGGAACTTCTTGTTCACTTTAGCAGGAAACAATTGAACACAATTTTAGGCATCACAGCACTTAGGAAATGTCAAGAAGAGCCTAAAATTACCCAATTCGAAATCCTCCCCAAAACTTTCTGGACACCTGCTTGGCTTGGTAGCAGTGATCAGAATAGCACACAGCTCCATGTTTCCATAGAGACGGGCAGAGAAGTGGGGAGCGGGGTGGGGAGCACTTTTGATGTTTGTGGGAGCAATTTGAACAGTTTTAGCAAAGGAGATATTGTTTTTGACAATCTTTAGAAATATAAATTACCCAGAAGCTTGCTGTGATCACAGATCATTATTTTCATAATTTGTTCAATACAATGGAAGCTGCCAGGCTCTGGCTGCACCTTGATTTGTGAAATGCCAAAGAGCTTCTGGTAAGAGAAAGAGAAGAAACTTGGGTGTAGGAATTATCTTGGCATTCACTGCAGGGCTGCTGTTCTCGTGGGACCCAGAATACGATATGATCTCGTTTAAAGTTTTTCCTGGGGAAAATATAGTCCCGGTGGCGATTCTCAATTCAAGCTGGCACCTTGAGAGCTCATCCTGTTTGTCCCTGAGCAAAGGGGACAGTCTGGCCTGACATCTGTGCAGAGACCCTGCCTGTAGAGACGCTGGGGGCCCAAGACATGCTGAGCTTAGAGGGCAGTATTGGCAGGTATTTTCAGAATGAGGCTCAGGGTGGCAAGTGCGGAGCATGGAGATTGGGGTCCAGAGATGGACTTCTGGGGGCTGGGGAAAGGGTGACATCGGAGCTCAGACTTACAGAAGGTGACATCGGAGCTCAGACTTCACTCTCTCTGTTTTACAGTTGGGAAACAGCTTTTATTGCCTTGTCCAGGGTCACACAGGTGGTAGTTGGTAGAGGCAGAATTCATGCCCAACCTGTCCCCACTCTTTTTTTTTGAGACCGAGTCTCATTCTATTGTCCAGTGGTTCCATCTTGGCTCACTGCAACCTCCACCTCCCGAGTTCAAGCAGTTCTCCTGCCTCAGCCTTCCGAGTAGTTGGTGCCTGCCACCATGCTTGGCTAATTCTCTATTTTTAGTAAAGACGGGGTCTCACCATGTTGGCCAGGCTATAAACTCCTGACCTCAAGTGGTCCGCCTGCCTCGGCCTCCCAAAGTGCTAGGATTACAGGTGTGAACCACCGTGCCTGGCCCAGCCTGACCCACTCTTGACGGCTCAGAACCTCCTGTGAGAATCAAATGGGATCAATATTTTGCAGCTGAGGCTCAGAAAGGTTAAGATGGTTGTTCAAGGCCGCAAAGCTAAGGACCAAATCTTGTCGTCTCCCTCCTGGCAGGGGCTCTGTGCCTGCAGACGCACCCACCAGCTCTTTATCAGTCTGCCACACTTTAGACTGCTGCCTCCGAGGTCCGTCTGGGAGTTGAATGATGAGTGAAAGTTTCACGTCTGTGCACCTGGGCATGTGTCTCCATTTTGGCCTGGCTTTGGAACTTGCATAGCTGTTTATCTTGCACACCCAGATGGGGTCAGACCTTCCTGAAGGTGAGATAAGATCTGTGTGCATATTTGCCTTCTCCCCACACCTCTGGGCCAAGGGAAGGGCCATCAAACTGAATTGCAGAAGGGCGTCGCAAGTTATAAAGTGCTTATAAGGCCAGCCTTGGTGGCTCACACCTGTAATCCCAGCACTTTGGGAGGCCAAGGAGGGTGGATCACTTGCGGTCAGGAGTTCGAGACCAGTCTGGCCAACATGGTGAAACCCGTCTCTACTAAAAGTATGAAAATCAGCCAGGTATAGTGGTGCACACCTATGGTCCTGGCTACTTGGGAGGCTGAGGCATGAGAATTGCTTGAATCTGGAAGGCAGAGATTGCAGTGAGCTGAGATTTTACCACTGTACTCCAGACTAGGTAACAGAGTGAGACTCTGTCTCAAAAATTAAAAAAATTTTAAAAGTCAAAAGTGCTTATAAAACATCTTGACTGTAACGTTGAGATCGGTACCACCTGAGGAACAGTTGAGCTCTTTGATAGAAAGCTGAGAGCATTATGATCAGGAATTTCTCACAAAATGAAAAAGTCATGAGAAGTAATTGTGGGAAGCACCGCCTCCAGCCTGGAGGAGAGATGAGTTGCAGACTGTGAGCTGCCAGCCGGCCTCAGCAGGTGTTTGCGCTTGCTGCCCACCATGGAGCACCCTTCCCTGCCCCCCACACCCCTGCCCTTCCATGGCTGTTCCAG